TTTATTGGTTATTGATCTTCTAAAACAATATTCCATTCAATCTTTTTCAGAAGCCTCAAATCATTCCTCTGATTGGATACCTCTCAAAGAATCTTACAAATACCTCACGATCTAAGATGTATCTACCACAATAGCAGAAACATTTTATTAAACATCTCATATAGGTTATGTTTTAGACTATTTTTTAATGCTTTATGTTACCACTGTTGATCCTCAGAATATTTATGAGCAATGCATTATGAACAATTTTTTTTTAAGTTGAGAAAATTGAAGCTCAGAAAGGTAATGTAATTTGCCCAAGGATGCAAGCTAATTAAATGCTGAGCAAGTACAGAGTGATAGCTGGACTCATGAGGCTACACCAGTCCATCTCTCACCATTTGCTTGTTTTAGAGTGTCCAGAGGAATACATGCTACCAGGAGTTAAAGTTTAAAAATACCTTTTCCTTAAAGGAAATTCCATTTTGTTCAAAGGCAATGCACTTAGTTAGGAAAAATTCTGATTAATCTCTCAGTCCAGGCTTCAACTCATCCCCCTTTGGGCCCAAGACACTTGATTTTTGCTGAACAAGAGCAGACAATTATGTCTAGTTTTATGGCAGGAAACCTCACCCTCTCTACTTGACAGGGCTGATTGTCTATAATCTGTGAGGCCTTAAAGAAAACGCAGGTTTGGTGACAGCTCTTGAGTTTTAAGCTGGGCTACTCTGAGTCAGCCAGAGTTATCAATCTCTTCCAGGCTGTAATCACAGCCCTGGTGTCAGTTCAGTGATGGCACCAGACAAGGGACCATCTGAGTCAAATGACAAAGTCTTACTGTGAGGCTGGCTGTGAGATTTGTCTTGTAATTGGATTAGAAAATTCTCGAGAAAGAAAGGCCATTTCTCACAATGCATGGTGTAACACTTGAAAAACCAAAAGATAAAAGGATGTGTCTGCCTCGGCAACAGTAAGACGAAACATCCTTTCTCTCTGTATTTCTTTCTGGCTCACCTCCCAAGCCAGGTTTACCATGGCAACCTTTATTTGCCTGCAATAAATCAAAGGTGTCATTACTGCTCTCTTAGCACACAGAACACTCACCTTCTCCTGTTCTTCCCTCCACGAGGGTCTGTCTCTAACAAAGGGGAGAGAAAGTCTTTGACTTCATGCTGGAGTCTGCCAAAACACAAGGACTGCATTGGATGTGCTGAGTTCTGGATGCTCCACTGCTGTGTAGACTTTCTCTGTTGCTGAAGTAGGGAATACATAAAATATACAAAGCAAGGTTAAATAATGATAAAGACATGGACAAAGCCCAAAGGAAAAGCCATAATGAATTGTCATGATGATTCAAAACTTTTTATCAGGATGTGGCACCAAACAGAATGATCATGGGTTAGAGTGGGGGTTGGAGAAGGAGTAGGATTCCCCAGGCTTTAAACAGAGGCTATAATTCAGATAGGAAAGCTGCAATCACACATGAATGGTGAGTGAGGAGAACAAAGAGGATGCCCATCACCAGGAGCTGTGTCTTTTCAATATGCTCCACATGTTACATTTTCAATTAGAATGAATGAATCAATGGATCAGTCCATGATAAATAAACCATGGTGGGGAATAGGAGGGAAGCAACCCTGTGAGAAGAATAACAAGGTGCATGAGAGAAGTGTAAAATACAGTGCCTGCCTGCAGGGAGCTTGAATTCCCAGGGAGAGCTGATGTAACTCTGCCAGCCAAGTTGTCATTAACCTGGTCTAAAATAACGTTTAAAAGAAAGAAATGAAATATAATCTACTGCATCCATGAATTCAACCAGCCTCAAATCAAAGATATTTACGGGGAGGGTGAAGCAATTAAGTGGTCAAAATAACTCCTTAAAGGCTAAGAGCGAGCATACAGTGATATTTACATAGCATTTACATTTTATTAGGTGTTACAATTAACCTAGAGATGATTTAAAGTATACGGGAGGATATTTGTAGGTTATATGCAAATACTACATCATTTTATATAAGGGAATTGGACATCCTGGGAGTCTGGTATCTCCATGGGTCCTGGAACCAATCTCCCATGATACCAAGGGATGACTGTACTCATTTTAGATGATGAACTAAAAGGAATATATATATGTATATTTAAGCTCATGCATTAGAGCTATGGAAACATGAATAAATATATTTATCTTAAATTTAAAAATTTAAAAGAAGTGGGTTAAGCTGTGAAACAGTAAAATAAAAATGAGATATTAGGATAAATGAAGGTGGAGGGTAAGAATGTTAACAAGAGAGGTTAGTGTTTCTGTTTAATTATTTTATTGTATATTTATCTGCAAAATTCTAACTAAACTCTTCTAAATCTCTCTCTTCAACAAAAAATCTTTCTTTTCCTTTTTAATGGATCATAACAAATTATAGTTAACATTTTAAAGAATGGGAATTCCAGAACACTTAGTTGTACTAATGTGGAACCTGTACATAGACTAAGAGGCAGTTGTTTGAACAGAACAAGAGAATATAGCATGGTTTAAAATCAGGAAAGGTGTGCATCAGATTATATCCTCACATCATGTTTATTCAATCTGTATGCTGAGCAACTAATCTGAGAAAGCTGGACTATATGAGAAGAATGTGACATCAGAATGGGAGGAAGACTCATTAACAACCTTCAATGTGCCAGTGCTATAACCTAGCTTACTAAAAGCAAAGACAACTTAAAGCATTTACTGTTGAAGATCAAAGATTACAGCCTTTAGTATGGATTACACCTCAACATAAAGAAAATAAAAATCCTCCCAACTAGACCAGTATACAACATCATGGTACATGAAGAAATGATTGAGGTTGTCAAGGATTTCATTTTAATTGGTTCCACAATCAATGCCCAAGGAAGCAGCAGTTAAGAAATCAAACAACTTATTGCATTGGGAAAATATGCTGCAAAAGATTTCTTTAAAGTGTTAAAAAGGAAACACGTCACTTTGAGGACTCAAGTGCACCCAACAAAAGCCATGGCATTTTTAATCACCTCATACATATGGGAAAGCTGGACAATGAATAAGGAAAAAAGAATTGATGCTTTTGGATTATGATGTTGGAAAGAATCTTGAATAAACCATGGACTGCTAGAAGAATGAAGAAATCTGTTTTGTATGAAGTCTACCCTTAGTGAAGATGGCTAGACTTCATTCTACATATTTTAAACATAGAAGGAACCAGTCCCTGGATTAAGAAGACATCATGCTTGGTAAAGTAGAGGGTCAGTGAAAAACAAGAAGGCCCTCAATGAGATGGACTGAAAAATGGCTGCAACAGTGGGCTCAAGTATAGCAAAGATTGTGAGAATGGTATAGGATCAGACAGTTTTTCATTCTGTTGTGCCTAGGGTTGTTAAGAGTTGGAGTTGATTTGATGGCACCTAACAAGAACAACAACAATGAAAATGATACTGTTCAGTCAATTGATGGTTTTTTTCTGGGATTTACAAAGAGTTGCTGATTATGAGCAGGGAGAAAGGGAGATATGCCCATAAATACCAGGGAGATACATGCTACAGTAGATAGGACAGATGTAGGCTCATACTAAACATGCCACTTTTTACCTGTTGATTTGGGGCAAGTTCTCTGAAAATCCTTTTTCTCAACTGAAAATGAAAAAAAAAAAATTATTTTGCAAACTATATGGGATAGCATGTTATTGTTTTTACTTGCCTTCAAGTTGGCTTGGACTCATGGCAACTTTATGTATGACAGAACAAAACACTGCCTAGCCCTGTGCCAGCTTCATGATCTTTGGTCTGTTTGAGTCCATTGTTGCATCTATTGTGTCAATCCACCGCATGAAGGGTTTCTGGCAGTTTTACTGACCATGCATAGTGCCTAAGGCATTTGACTGCTAACCAGAACGTTGCAGGCTCAAAACTACCAGCCACTCCTCGGAAGGAAGACTGGGCAATTTACTTCCATAGAGATATTGCCCTGGAAACCCAAGGAGGGGTCAGGGTCACTATGAGTCGGAACTTACTCGACGGCAGTGAGTCAGTTTGTTTGTTGGTGTTCTGCTTCACCAATCATGATATCCTTGTCTAGCGATTAGTCTACATGCTTAATCCACATTATCATTTGCCCATTCCCAACCTCAAAGGAGTGGATTTTGGACCATTTTTACTAACTTGCCAAAATATGAGTCGACATCAGTATTTGAGAGAAATCTTCCAGCAAACTCTGTGTTTCAAGAAAAACGTACACCCATTTTTTTTTGTACATGGATTAATGCATTTTTCTATCTTTCTTTTTTCTTTTTTGTAGTGTTCCCTCCCCTCCCTTCCCACCCCGGTAAGCAGCAAAGAAAGTTTCCTTCATATATAAACCTTTCCTTGACTTTTTACAATAATGAACTAATACTATATTTGTCCTTCTGTGATTGACTTATTTTACTCATCCATGTCATGCAGTATTTTGCAGATTCTACATTATTCTTCAGTATTGCATAGTATTCCATTGTGTGTATATACCATAGTTTGGTTTTCCATTCTTCTGTTGAGGGGCAAGTAGGTTGTTTCCTTCTTTTTGCTATTAAACGTATACCCATTTTATGAACAAATATAAGCTGCTCTGTCCAAGTAGTTATGAATGTGGAGCTAGGCTTGCACACTGGTATCTCAGGGCCCAGCTTCCTTTTCTGATGGAGAAATAATAGTACTCCCTAATCCAGGCTGTGCAGACACCATGAGAAAATGCCTGCAAACCTAGTCTCACAATACTAAGTACACCGTGAGTTACCAGAAATGTTAACACTCACAGATGAATAAAATATACAAAGCAGTGTTAAAATATTGGTAAAAGCTAAAATGGCAATCATAGACATTCAGTTTTTTGATGTTCAGAAGAGAATGAACTTTGCAATTTCAGATTCTTTTTTTTTTTTTTTTTTAACATATGGAATGTGATAAATCTTCTGAAAGTATAGCTACTGATTCCCTGGCTGTGTTCCAGACCTCATGGACCTTTCTCTTGGATTTAGGGAAGTGCCAGTGAAGCTACCCTGGTGGCCCTCCTAGCTGCTCGGACTAAAGTGATACGACAGTTACAGACAGCGCACCCAGACCTGACACAGGCTGCTATCATGGAAAAGCTAGTGGCCTACTCATCTGATCAGGTGAGTGTATTGGGAGTGTGTGTTGGCCTGCAGTCCACCCAAGCCTTCCAGATTTGAATGTTTGTTTTTAAAACAAATCAAATCAAGACAAAGCCATATTGCATCATTAGAAACCCAAGAAGAGGGGTCACTAAGATAGAGCCATATGCTAGAGAGAAAGAGTGAGTTCTCAGATTAGAAGTAGGTCAAGTTGGAAAGAAAATTAGGGTGCTAAGAAATCACTGTGACTGGCTCTGTTACCATTTCACCCAGCACTGACTAAACACTGTAGTCATTTGGCTTGCCTTCAGATGGACATTGTGGAAAAATTAGACATAGGGCTTGAAGACCTGGGCTCAAATCCCAGCTCTACTATTTTAAGTTTTGAATTCTCAGGCAAATCACACAAATTCTCTGAGCCTCTATTTCTTTACTGTTAAAATTCACTGCCATTGAGTCAATTCAACTCATAGTGACTCCTTGGGTTTCTGAGGCAGTATCTCTATGGAAGTAGATTACCCAATTTTTCTTCTGAGGAGCGGCTGGTGGGTTTGAACCACCAGCCTTCTGGTTAGCAATCAAATGCCTTAGGCACTAAACAGATATTTTATAAGGTTTAAAGATTAATTAAGTATGAACACTTAGTATTGTTTCATTGATCAAACCTTTAAAAAAGGAAGAAAATTGTGTGACAATGAATAGGAAGAAAGAAGAGTTAGCAGCATGAGAATAACTCCATGAGACAATCTATCATTGAAAGGGCACAATAAATGTGCAACTTGCTCTACCTCCACAGAGGAATAGCAGGTTTAACTTTGCTGACATATTTATGTTTAACAAATTGCTTAAGCCAGACATATTAACCATGACACTTCACTCTAGTTAATGAAGATTTAACCTGAAATAAGCACAATACCCATTTCTAGATGCTTAATTTAGTTGATTATGCACCAGTGTATTCTGATTCTGCATGTTAGTGCTAACTGCACATGCAGAAATTTATTCATTTGTATTTATATTTCCCTTGTTTCTTAGAAGAACTTGAAGTGGTTTTAAAAACAAAGCAACAAAATACACACATAGGCACTCAATAAATACATGCTGAGAAACGTTCCTATGGGAAAGAAAAGGAAGTCTTTCCCAACCAGTGTTCTGTGAGAGAATTTAGCCCTGAAGAAAACTATTTTGGTAACTTTCATCAGTTTCTCACAGGATGGTGCATAGCTCACACTATGTTAGATGTACAGAAGTTACATAACTTGATCACAAAGAGTTGATGCATGTGGGCTGAATTCTTCTGTGGGACCCCAGTGGAGAATGGCTGTCAGGGAGGGTGATAAACTATGGAGTAACTTTTTCAGGTATATAGCTATTATTTCATTTTGAACAGGTTAAGTTTCCTAGAAGCAGATCCTGAAGCAGGGATTTAGGTGTTCACCATTTATTGAAGGGTTGCTCTCTGGAGAAACCTAGGAGAAGTTAGGGAAGCATGTGAGGCAGTAAAGGAGCCCAGCAAAGGTGTGGTCTCTGAGACACTCTAGCCTGAGCCTGGTCCCTGAGGAATGCTCTGGGGTGTGATCTGATCCTGTCCTTGAGACAAAGAGTTTGCCTTTTATATGTCAGTGCCACTTGCAGTGGTGGGGCAAAGTGGCTTTGTCAGCAGAGGGCAATTCTCAAGAAGGGGGAGGGAAGAGCCATTAGCAGGCAAGGGATAGACACACAAACCATGCCTGCCAGAGGAGTCTAGGCAAGACACTAAAAGCATCTACTACAGCTGGCAGAAGTACATGAAGAGAAGCATCCATCTCTTCTGGACAATCTACAATTCCAATGGTCTTAGAAAGTCCTGTTGTTGCTACCAAGCCAGTCCCCCTAAGACTTCTTATCCATGATTACCTTATCCCAAATTTATTTTCAGGCATTAATCCCAGAGAGCGTAAGGTTAGGGCTGGTCATTGTGCATTTATGAACTGATCACCTCACTCTGCATCTGAAGGTAAAGAAAATGTATAAGGTCATAAAAGAATCAGTTCCTAGAGTTGTCATGTTTTTCAGATAAAATGAAGAGAATGGAATAGTGGTTCATTACATGTCTTTACTCCAGGCACTATTTGTGATACTTCACATCAGTACTTAATCATTTTCACAACTCTCCCCTGAAGTGGATGTTGGTTCTTTTCTCATTTTGCACATCAGGAGGTTCACTGAAGTCGAGTAAGCTGCCAAGGATCTCAGGAAAGGGTAAGAGCAGAGAGTCAAAAAGAGGTGCTGAAGGGCTGGAAGCCCAGGCTCTTCCTGCCTAGCCTGCTTGGCTCTCCCACCAGAGGTTGAGTAGGGGAAGCCCCATAGAGAGATCCAGGGTAGGGTTCAGATCACGGTTTTCTAACTCTACCTCCAGTGTGCGCTTTCCAGGGCTCACAACTTACTCTGGAATTCAAATAAGCCTCACCAATATTGACACAGCACTTTACCCTTACAAGAGTCTGATTCATTAAACTTAGAAGGAAGATTTGACGTGAGTTGAACCAATTCCAGGAATAAAGGAATCTTCCTGAAGTTGTATGGGCGAGGAAGGAAAGAACATCAGTTCTTCCACCTTGCCCTATGAAAAGGAGCCAAGTGTTTGCAGCAGAGCTCCCTACAGAGCTTTGAGCTTCTAAGGACTACACACAAGGAGGGGAGCCCACCCACACAAACCTAACTCTGTTGCTGTCTTTCTAGGCACACTCCTCAGTGGAAAGAGCAGGACTGATCGGTGGAGTGAAGTTAAAAGCAATCCCCTCAGACAGCGAGTTTGCCATGAGGGCTTCCGCCCTGCAGGAGGCCTTGGAGAGAGACAAGGCTGCTGGCCTGATTCCCTTCTTTGTAAGTTAAAACCAAAACCAAAACCAAGCTCACTGCCATCCAGTGGATTCTACTTATAGTGACCATCCTTGAGCTCCCTCTTTGTAAGTTACCCAGTGCTTATTGCTGGTGGGAATCTCCCAGCCCTGCCACACCTGGGGGAGGCTGGGGGATGCCAGAGCCATTGCCCAAGCTTTGGTTGTGGTCGCAGTTCAGGAGATCTCTACTGGACCAGATTTTTGTTGGTGTCAGCCTGCCACTCATTGAGCAAGGCTGGAAAGAAGACTCCATTTATTTTTTGTCCAGCATGCTTTGATTTCAGAAAGGACTCACCAGAAAATCCCAGCCCAGAGGAATTCTGTTAAGCCAAGAAACCTGGTGTCTATGCATTGTCACGTTAAAAGTGACACGATGTGATGGTTCCTTGACAGCTCTTTTTGGAGTGGTAGATGCTCTGAATAATGAGGAATGTCTGATGAGTGAACCCAATTAAAATTAAAAGCAAAATGCTCTCATTGCCTCAATCTGTTGTTCTTAATAGATACTTGGAAGAGATGTGTTGCAAGTGAGTAGTGACTAATTATAGATAAATTATCTTACTCTCCAAATAGCATTCTGATTCTTTCCTACACAGATACACATTTTCTAGGGAGGAAGAAATAGTTGACATTGCAATTAGAGACTGGAAATTATTATAACCCTCATATGGTAATGGGTGCTCTGGTAGCATAGTGCCTAAGGCACTTGACTGCTAACCAGAAGGCTGGCGGTTCAAACCCACTAGCCACTCCTCTGAAGGAAGATGGGGCAATCTACTTCCGTAGTGATACTGCCTCAGAAACCCAAGGGGGGGTTGCAATGAGTTGGGTACGACTCAACGGCATATAACAACAACAACAACATATGGTAATGGAGGTATACCATGTCTGTGACCGAAATGTTCTTTGGTATGTCAGTTGAAATGGTGTAACCCGTGGCTTTAGCCCAATGGTGTACTACCTGACTACACAGTGTCAGCTGAGGTACTTTTAAACAATATGGGTGCCCAGACCTTGTCCCAGATCAATTGTACCAGAATCTCTAGGGATGGAGTTTGGAATTGAAACCTTTTACAAGTCCTTCAAGGTTCTGATGTGCAGCCAAAGTTGAGCATCACTGCGCAGAAGAATATTTTCCAGTAGTTAGTAATTTCTTCTTATTTCTTCTTATTCTTATTATTGTGATTTGGGTGAAAATTTACAGAGCAAATTCAATTTCCATACAGCAGTTCATATACACTTTGTCTCATGACATTGACTACAATTCACCACAATACAATAGCTCCCCTCACACTTTCTTCTGACAGTCACCTCTTCCCTGTGTCTGGTTGTCCTGTATCCCTGCCCCCTGAGCTGTCTCCCTGTGCATAAACAGCCCTTCTTTCTCCCATGATTATTCTTTCCAAGGAGTGTATCTTCCTCAGGTAAATGTTCAAATCCTATGCCTGTCTTTTGCTTGGCTGGAAGCCACAGGTGTGGGTTCAATTCCAGACCTGAAGGGCAGCTAGAAGCCATAGTCTCAGTGGTTCCACCAGGCTCTATCAGACCAGAAAACCTGGGCCCTCTTTTTTTTCCAAATGATTTTGAGTTTTGTTCCACATTGTTCTCCCTCCCTATCCAGGATCTCCTACATAGTTTCCCCTCCCAGTGGTTGACAGTGGTAGCCGGGTACCGTCCAGTTCTTCTGGTCTCATAGTCGTATAGGCTGCGGATTTCCTGGTGTGCCAGTCTCTAGGACTAATTGTTTCATTAATCTTTGGTTTTCTTCATTCTTCTTTGCTCTGGATGAGGAGAGACCCATCATTGCATCTAGATGGCTGCCTGCAAGCTTTTAAGATCCCAGTTGCTACTTGCCAAAGTAGGGGGTGGAACAATGTTTTGTGTAGTATGTTATGCCAATTGAGCTTGATGTCCCATGTGACCATGGTCCTGAGCCCACAGGTTCAACTACTCGGTCCCTCTGGGTAGCTGGCTGTGGCCAAGAAGTGACCTTGGCCATTGTCAGCTCTACTATACACGTGGGATTTCAGATCATACAAATACACTTGTAGGACCATTGTCTGCCAACCCTATGCATGGTCTTGGGTCCACTCCCCACTTCATAGACATACCTAATAGTTCAGCCTGTCCACCCATCTATTCATCCATGTACCCATGTTTGCCTTCACTGATGACGCAGGACTGTATGTGCAAAAGAGTTCACCTTTGTTGTCTGTACCTTCCATGGACCTCTCTATGTCTTCCTCCTCCTCAATGCCACCATGTTGATCACTCACATTTGGTACATTGCCCTTCTCTTCACCCAAATCAATACTTATCTCTACCTATCTAACAGTGTTCCCTCCACTCCTCTCCCCTCCCACCCCTGGCAACCAACAAAGAAAATTTCCTTCCGTGGATAAACCTTTCCTTGACTTTTACAATAATGGACTAATACAATATTTGTCCTTCTGTGATTGACTTATTTCACTCAGCATACTGTCCTCCAAGTTTATCCACATTATGTGGTGTTTTGTAGATTGTACATTATTCTTTAGGTTTGCATAGTATTCCATTGTGTGTATGTACCAAAGTTTGGTTATCCATTCCTCAGGTGATGGACACCTAGGTTGTTTCCATCTTTTGGCTATTGTAAATAGTGCTGCGATGAACATTGGTGTGCATATGTCTGTTCTTCTCATGGCTTTCACTTCTTTAGGATTTATACCTAGAAATGGAATGGCTGGATCAAATGGTATTTCTAATTCCAACTTTTTAAGAATCACCATACTGCTTTCCACAGTGATTGTACCATTTTACACTCCCACCAGCAGTGTATGAGAGTTCCAATCTCTCCATGGATGATGTTCTTGATGTCATCCCACAATTCTTCTGGTTTTTGGTCATTGGTGTTCAGTGCATGAAGTCTATTCTTTAGATGGTCTCTAACTTCAGGAGGGATATATTCAAGATCATATTTTGGCTCTCATGGACTTCTTTTAACTGTCTTTAACTTCAAGTTGAACTTGCAGATGGGCATTTGATGGTCTGTTCCACAATCAGCTCCTAGTCTTGTTTTGGCTGAAGATATTGAGCTGTTCCATTGCCTCTTGCCACAGATGTAGTCAATCTGGTTTCTGTGTAGTCCATCTGGCGAAGTCCACATGTATAGTTTCCATTTGTGTTGTTGGAAAAAGGTATTTGCAGTGACTAAATTGTTGGTTTTGGAAAATTCTATCATGTGATTTCCCGCATCATTTCTGTCACCAAGGCCAAATTTTCGAACTATCAGTGATTCTTCTTTGTTTCCAACCTTTGCATTCCAGTCACCAGTCATAATTAACACATCCTGATTGTGTGTTTGGACAATTTCAGACTGCAGAAGCTGATAAAAATCTTCAATTTCCTCATCTTTGGCTTTGGTAGTTGGTGCATAAATTTGAATAATAGTCATATTAACTGGTCTTCCTTGTAGGCTTATGGATATTATCCTATCACTGACAGCATTGTATCAGGACAGACTTTGAAACATCCTTTGTGATGATGAATGCCATGCCATTCTTCTTCAAATTGTCATTCCAGCATAATAGACCACATGGTTGTCTGATTCAAAATGGCCAAAACCAGTCCAGTTCAGCTCACTAATGCCTAGCATATCAATCTTTATGCATTCCTTTTCATTTTTGACAACTTCCAATTTTTCTAGATTCATACTTCGTACACTCCATGTTCCAATTATTAATGGATGTTTGCAGCTGTTTCTCTTCAATTTGAGTCCTGCCACATCAGCAAATAGATGTCTCAAAAGCTTTATGTTATCCATATCAGTAAGGCTGGTTCTACTCTGTTGATGCAGCTCTTTCCGAGTCCTATTTTGAGAGTCTTCTGACCTAAGTAGCTTATCCTCCTGCACTGTATCGGACAATGTTTCTGGCTATTCATAAAATTGCACAGTAATGTATCAGTGTCTCTCTGCTATAAGGTTTCCCCGTCCAATTCTTTGAGAAGTGGATAGCCTCCTCCTTCTTCCTAGTCTGTCTCAGCCTGTAAGCTGTGTTGAAACCTGTGCACCATGTGCAACCCTGCTGGGTTTGAGACACCAGTGGCACATCCTCAAGCCTCACAGCAACACGCCACCACAGTAGGACAAACTGACAGACAAGTTTGTCTCCCTTAACTGTTCAAAACCTCTCCACCCTCCCCACCCTCCCCTTACATGGATCCCTGTCTCTTTCTTGACACTTGGGGGCGTGGCCTGGGTCACTTGACTTATCTGGATCCCTGTCACTGTTTCCTCGCTCTGTCCTGATCTCCCTGGATTTTTCTCTGCTTTCCCACTGCTCCGGGAAATACATATATGAAGATAATCTTCTAGTGTTGAAAGTTGAAAACAATGGAAAAACATCACATGAAATGACGGGAATGAGATTTTATTTTATAAAAACTAAAATGTATATCAAATATCATAAATAAAATGAAAAGAAATATTTATAACATATATCATAAATATATATACATACATGTATGCACACAAACACACAGTCATTCACATATATTCATATATAGGTATGTACATTGTTGTTAGTTGTCATTGAGCTGACCTCCTACTCATGGTGATCCCATATACAACACAACTAAACACTGCAGGTCCTGTGTCATCTTCATGATCAGTTGCAGACCAGACCACTGTGGGTTTGCATTGGCTGATTTTGGAAGTGGATCTCTGGGCCTTTCTTCCTAGTCTGTCTTAGCCTGGAAACTCCACTGAGAACTGTTTAGCATCATAGCAACATGTAAGCCTCCCCTGACAGACGTGTGGTGGCTGCACTTGAGAACTGCCTGGGAATTGAACCCAGGTTTCCTGCAATGAAGGTGAGAATTCTACCACTGAAATCTTTTTCCTATTGAATAGTGTTTGCATGATGCTCTCTTTCCATCTTTTTACTTTCTAACATCCTGTTACCTAATATTATGTTGTTGTTGTTGTTATGTGCTGTCAAGTCG